TATAATAATAATAATAATAATAATAATAATAATAATAATAATAATATGCAGCTAGAATGATTATTTTTTAACATCCGGTATTGAATAGCTTATCTACTGACTACTATACAGCGTGAGTATATTATAGTATACAGTGTGATATAATTATACGAGCTTAATACTATTTAAATAGTGTTAAATAACATATATTACATGTCTAAGCACTGTGGCGTGGTGGGTTAAGGCGTGTGTTTTGAGAGTGAACATTGTAGGTTCGAATCTGACTGCAGCAGATTTGTTTCTACAGTGTTTGCTCTCGTAGTAGAATTTAAAATTTGTGGGGGTATCATAAAGCCGGTAATTGTGGCGCTTCGGACGATTGGTGATTTACATGCGAATGTAAGTTGTCACGTGGTGCGGCCTACGTTATCACCTTGATTTCTATCTATCTCAGTCTCCAAAGGCTGACGTATATGATATCCTCCTGACCTTTAGATTCTATAAATAAACCACGGCACCCACCACGCCACAGTGCTTAGGTAAAAAAAAAAATATCTCTGTTGTACAGACAGCCAGTTAAAAAAAAAAAAAAAAAAAAAAAAAAAATAAAAAAAGTGAGAGGTGGCCACCATTCTGGATGTCTGTACAGCACAGATATTTTGCAAATTTTTTCTATTTTTTTTTCGATTTAAATTATTATTACACGGTCATATAATTTGACCTTGTTAAATATTACAAGTCCTATATTTCATTTAATATTTGATATTATCAAGTCGGAACAACACAGATATGTTTTATATACTTATCTACACTACATATTAAAAGTTTACCCCCCGCTTCATATTTTTCATTTAAGTATAACTCCGTTGCTATTTATGTTAGAATCTTCATTTTTACATTAAACAATTTTGATTTTAATTTTTTATAAGTCCCCCTCATAGTATCATAGTGTAAAATCGTTTTTAAAGATTTTTGGATTTTAATAACGCGTGTCCGAATGGGACACGCGTTAAATATTGAACATTTTTTTAATAGAACAATTCTATTAAAAAATTAAATTAAATTAATAAATGGTCTAATAAAGTCGACTCCATAATAAGGGTACATATTTTAATATTTCCTAAATCTTGATGAACAATAATATCATAGAGATATTTTTCTGAAAATTTACCTGTTGTAATTATTAAATCATTAGCTATTTTACAAATTTCAAGCCATGTTGGCGATTCTAGTATTTTAGAAGCATAAGGCTTTCCATTTCCATCTCCACAAATATTGCGACAATAATCGACAATTAAAATATTTCCTTTAATTGGAATTTTATTTAGATTATATTTCATTATTTTAATATTATTTTTTTTATAGTATTCATATTTATGAAATTTAACAAAGATTTCATTATTTAATATTGATTTTTCTATTTCGTTTTGCATTTCATTTTCTTGTAATTTATTAAAATCTTTGATAGTTGTTTCCATTATTTTTATTATTTATTATATTTTTAATTTTTAAATTAATTTTTTCAATTTCTTTTTAATACATTTTGCAATTAAATATGCTATTTCGATTTTTATTTTTGATAGAACAATTCTATTAAAAAATGTTTTGGTGCATTTCAGATTTTTGAAAAATATTTTAAGTAATTATTGCATTTAAATGTCACGTGTGCCGAAGTCCCCCCATAGGAAAATATTTTTAGTATTTTTTGCATTTCAATTTCTATGAAAATTATTTTTAGTATTTTTGCATTTCAGATTTTTTGAAAAATATTTTAATAATTATTGCGTTTCACGATTTGCAAAATAATTAAAGGAATATTGCGTTTCAATTTCTATGAAAAAATATTTTAGGAAATATTGCGTTTCAATTTGTATGAAAAAATATTTTAATAATTATTGCGTTTCACGATTTGCAAAATAATTTAATAATTATTGCGTTTCACGATTTGCAAAATAACTTAATAATTATTGCATTTAAAATGAAAGTGTACCATAGTGACCCCTATACTACTCCTACTACCTATATGTGTGTGTTTTATGAAGGAAATGAAATATAATTATTATTAATATGTTCTTGATAGCGAAGCGACAGGTCACCTGTTGTTTTATAAGTTACCAATTTGGGATAGTAAAAAATGTTGGTCCTCTATTAAAAACTAAAATGACGCCACTGTGCATCCAATTATAATAGAATACCAATACGTAGATGTGAATAGGTGATTTGAACACTGGCGTGCGGGTTTTTAAAATACCATGATTAAAAATGAAATTAAAAAAAAAAGTAATAATAATCCAAGATATTGAATGTTATATTAATTAATAAATAACAATTTATAATAATAGTTATTATATTGAATATTGTTGTAACGTGTCCGTTCTAGCACTCTTATTTGAATTAAGGTATAATAAAGATACACAAATTTACGAATACTTAAAGTATTTTAAATTTTTATTAAAATAATCAAACGTTGGTTAAACACTCAAAGCACATACTCTCGTGACTCGTCTCTAATATCCGACTCTCTGACTTAGTCAATGACTTTCCTATTTATGCTAAGTGGGAGTCACCTTGTTATGATGCTCTCCGTACAATCTAAAAGTGTGTCCTATCATTAGTTTACACCTCTGATCTTTATACAGGATTTCCTATAATATGCTATTATAGCAAAGTCATTTAATGTCAGTTAGGTACTACAAATACACACATACAATATTATTTGATAAACTAATAATATGGATTATTACAATATCCACAGATATTCAGTGAATATTAATAATATTACACCAATGGTAATACGTTATACTTATCATATTCTTCATATTATTATGCAAGTATATACATATATATTTCATTTAGTATTATAAATTGTACTTTGTAATATGTTATAATTATTGAAAATAGGTACTGTATTTAGTTAAATCCAAGAATAAAATATTAGATGGATTTTAAATTATTTTATACTTAATGAAAGTCGAAAGTCGTCCTGTCGTCGTAATATCGTATGACGTACTCATAGATATTATAAGACTAATAGGTATCTATGGACGTATTACCTTTAGAGTTTGAACGTTTTGACTGTTTAAAGGTTCAAAGTGAAATAATTATTTGGCTAATAGCTTGTAGGAACAATGACTAAAATATTAAAATAATATCAAAAACAATCAATTTGTAGATATTTGTCGGGGCGACTGATGACCAGATGAAACATGTCGAATTCTCTCGTACCGCTTCGAATAAATTGCTTGCACTATATTATTCTATGGACAAGTACTTATGGGCTACGGTGAACGGTCACATGGGTTTTCCATTCTCAATAATTATCTGTCAAACAAAATGATGTACGTCATGAATAATAAATTCAAACATCGACATTTTTACAAAAATTGTTGTCGCACAGTAATTAAATATATCATCCACTAGGTGACAAAAAGTTTTCTCTGGGCAACATTTCTGTTATAGGTATTTCAACCACTTTCTTGTGTTGTATTATATACACTGTTAATACAATAATTAGAATAGGTATAAAAATTAATAACAACTATGAGAGAAATGCAACAACAAAAAATTGACACTGAATACATGTCATATTGCATAAAAATATTATTTGTCTCAAACACGAGTCGACGACACTTAAGTTATGTTCGTAACATATATATTCAAACGGTAGTGACGGAGATGATAATATTATATTGAAATATAAACAAATGAGAGTGTGCAAGCGTGCTCTGTAGAATACATGAAATTTAAACATAATTATTATAAGTACTGACGATACTGTACATGTTAAAACAATATCTGAAAAATAATATGTTTAATTTTCAAAATTCGATCTTTAAATGCTTATAAAAAACATTGTGCCCATGTATTTTTAATATTTTTCAACTGATTTTGTAACAATATATCAGAGGAGCCTTGTAGAAAAAAAACCAAAAAAAAAGTAAAATCAATACATTCATCATTTCACTCTAAAATAGAGACAATAATGAACAAATAATCTATTATACTAGTCATCCTCATGGTTGCTTAAAAATACTTTTATTCAACAAGACTATAAAAAGTCCAAAATGTTGAATAGTTATTGGTATTTACTAAGTAGTAATGATACCAACTGTGGCATAAAATAGATTTTGTGATTTGTTAAAAGTTGAAACAAGTACTATGTTTATTGTGCTTGTCTAAATATAATTGGTGTCATAATATTATTTTATAAATATAACCATATAGTTCTAACACAAATCAATTTATAACATAAGAACAATAAACCTATAAAAAATGTAATAGATTTATCATTAGTTTATAAAATAGAATAAATAAAAATGTTTTTTTCTTGTTAACCTTTAATTATCTCAACTGAATATTCATACATTTTGAATAGGTATTAACTGTGAAAACAATTAGTGGTATTGTTTACATTTTATAAGTTTGATAGTTATATTTATAAGTTTCGTTGATGTTAAGTATCAGAATTTAATTATTTTTTCCAAGATCTAAATTAAACCTGGTCTTAATTCCCAACCAATAGCTTCAACACACAGAATAATAATGTTAACAATTAAATATTCAAATTAATACTATGCTTAATATATTATATAAAATAAGATAGGTGTAAGTCCATTTCTTACAATAAGCTTCAAATGCATGTAAATAATAATTATAATTCGCAAGAACATAAAATGACAAATTACAAAGATTTGTGTATCAATAAATTATGATATAATAACATACAATCTAATAATAGTTATTAAAAAAAATAAAAATATGAATATATATTTTTTTTTTTTCATCTTATATTGAAATCATTACTTCGAATTACAATTAAAAAAATTCTATAAAATTAAAAAATTATTATGAAGTTGAATTTTAAAAATTCAAATATAACTTCTTATACATAACATTGAATTGTATTAAAAAAAATAATAAACGAAATAATAATAATGATAATAATATATAATGAATAATAAAATACCTAAAATGAAACACGAGCTATAAAAAACTTGAGGTATACATTTTGAAGTTATCGATTATTTGTAGAACTTCTTTTTTTTACTGCTATATTGGCGAGTACCACCGGGTGTAGTAGGCCAAGCACCAGTACGTTGTTCAACTTGGTTTCGGAGTTGTTGTTGTTCCTTTTCATTATTATATTGTTTTTTCTTCAATTGAGAAGCCAAAGCTAACCTGATCTGTTCACGGTGCTCACTTATAGCACTCACTGCTGCATTAACCGTTTCACACCACTCACGCCGTTCATCTGCTGTGTCAGCAGCCAACAGCAGCACTTCATGAGTTTTGTCATCGCTGTTATTTCCATCATTCAAGTTATCACATGCAGCACCAACATTATACAAAATCAAACGCAGAGTATTTGGTCGGGTGCATAGGTCTGGAAGAGCCGGAGCTGCAGGGATTGGATTCTGCTTATGTTTCTGCTGCTCACCTAAGGCAGCAGTTGTAATTTCCTCTTCAGGTGGCGGTGGCGGCAAACAACAGTTCAAGTCAATGCTACCCAATGGCTGTAAAAATATCGCAAAAAATTAATATTTATCACAAAATTAAGATAAATTCTAGAACTTTCAAATAAAAAACAATAGACAGTTCAATTATCTTATTATTTTTAAATTTTTGAATTAAAAATTGTTTAAGAATTCATGACATACTCTTATAATATTATGAAGATGTTAGCAATACTTAGTAATACTTTTGTTTATTTATATTTATATGATTGATGAATTTATTATTTATACAAAAAAAGTTAACTAGATATGATTTAGTATGAATACAACCAGATTTTTAAGAGGTTAGCCCATAAATTGTAAAAACTGTATTGTCCAAATTAGAACCCTTTAAACTATACTCTATTTAGAATAAGAGCACACCAGGTGGCCACAGTCAAAACCGGTTTCGCTACGTAAATCTAGTGTACTCTAATTCTGAATAGAGTATAGTCATAAAAAAAAACAAATTTATTAATGATACAGAAAACAATATTTTTTTTTATTCTTTTGAAATTTATATAAAATGTTTTAAGTGTCTTAAAATCTATAACATAGTTGTATATTTTTTTAACTTCTATAATTTTTCTTGTTTTAATGTTATAAAAAAATAATATTTTTACATTATCTAGGAATTATGCAATAACAAATAATAGTACTGGCACAAGACCATATGTAAATAAGAGTGCGAAAATTTGAAGTTTAAATTGTGTCATGATATGTATAATTTAAGGTCCCTGCAATCGTGTCATTTTTAAGGAGTCGAGTTTAGGCAATTCTTTTAATCATTGCGGTTACTGCTAATTTATGTGTGTGTAGTAAATTATCATTTGTGTATAAACTCTCCACCAATCACATTATATTATATTTTAAGTCAATTTATAGACTTGAAATAGATACATAAGTACTTTCAAAGTTCTGAAGGACAAAATGTAAAGATGTTTGAATACATAAACAAAATTACATTGAATAGACAGGAGTACTTTTTAACTTAAGCAACTTAGTTCTTGACAGGAATAAACGTTTTAAATTTTATCAATTATTCAATTTTTATAATAAAAATATTAAAAACTATTAAAAATATTGAATATATGCTCTGACCAACCAATGCAAACTTTTTTTTATCAAATCAAAAATCTTTACATTTTTTAAATCTAACTAATAGAAGTGCCTTAAATTTTTCAGTCACCAAGGTAGTTTTGATGAAACATTGATTAGTGTATGAGGGGGTCTCACGGGGGCTGAGCAAAGCATGTTTTAAGGAGTAATATTTAGGCAATTTATATGATATGATCAAAAATTAGTGTAATTCAGTATCGCTTTAATTCTTGCACGCACATACAAATTTTTTTTTGGCACAACTATGAAAACTACTAAAAGTTAATACATACTTTCTAAAATTAGATTGTAATTTCAAAAAAATGGTTGAATCCATAAATTTCTAGAATAGACTATCTATAAATCAATTTTTATATTTAAAATCCAAATAATGTATTAAATTACATTTGCGATGAATTGTAATTGAATTTTATAAGCAATATCTTAGTTTTAGTTTTTAAAAATGAAAATTGATTTCCTTAATAGCCTAGATAAATGTCAAAGAAACCATGCATACATTAAAAATTTAAATCGGACATTGCGAAACCATGCATACATTAAAAATTTAAATCGGACAAGTACGTGCAATTTACCACCATTTAATGGTCTAAAATGAAAAATACATGTACTGTGATCTTATTAATAAATATATTAGTACTGGTACCTCTCGCTCTTGTTCAGCATGCTCTGGGTACATCCAATAGCGTAACACCATGGTTCGCTGCTTTAAATTGATGTTGTTTTGCTGTTCTTGTGATTTGTCACTGGTATTTATAGACTTTTCTTGATTTATGTCAATTATTTCAGCCCGAAACCAAAGACGACGCCATGAAGTCGTGCCACCTTTTGTGCAATCACCAATGTTCGTACGACGTTGCCACTGAGACTCCCGTACAAAATTGTGTGAACGCAACTCATGATCATCAAAAAGTGTTAAAAATCCTTCCAAACGTTTGCACTCAGACGGAAATTTCAGTGGTTTTTGTGCACAAGCTGCTTTACTGCCACTGGCAGTATATGTATTTGATTCCAAAGATTTGTTTTCCAAATTATTTGCACCTGAATCATCTTCATATTGCTCTCCTTCTTCCAGTAGGCACATGTGGACGCGCACCGTTTCTTCTGCAACAGCATTTGTAGTAACTCTTGAACTGCTTGGAACACCACCAGATTGATGCACCTGTACATAAAATGACAAAATAAATAATATTCTATCGTAGACTAAAGCAGAAAAATTAAGTAAAAACCTTATTCAAAGTAAACTGCTTGCGGTCCACCTGACCGTCAGAAAAGACAAAGTAACCAAGTTGTCGAAACACTGTGTTACGCACAGCCATTGGTCCACCTGGTGATTCAATACATGTCGTTGCTGTTGAGCCATGGTGTTTTTTAGCTTCCTTACTCGGGGTAGTGACTGTAGACCATAACTTGTCCTGTATTAAACATAAAAATATATATAAAAATCTAAAAGTATTTATTTTATATAAACAACAATTGAAATAATTGTTTCTAGAATCCATCAGTATTGTGTACAATTATTTAATATATTTCAGTACTGCATAGGAGGAATAAGACACAATACATTCAAAGAGTACCTACAGAAGTATAGTATTTAGAACTTATAGATAATACCATTGATTATAAACACTATAGGTTTTTCTCTAGTCGGTTTTTTGGTGGAGTAAAATATTTACTAGGAATAAATATTTTACGCCACCGAAAAACCAGCAACTGAGCAACCTATAGTATTTATAATCAATGATAATATCGATTCGGATTAATTAAATACACAATATTAACAACATTAACTTCAACAAAATACTAACCAATACACTCCTATTTTCGTGGACATCGTGTTCCTTAACATTATTACCACCATTGTGGTGGTCATTCTCCCCAGTACCTGTTGGTGATACACCATATAGCTCAACAGTGATTTTCCATCCTCTGTCATCCAACCCATGGATCATAATAGGAGCACCCTCTGATTCGGTTGGACCTGCACACTTTCGGCTACCAGAGTTTTTGATTCTTTTTTTAGTGATAAATTCAACATATCCATAATTTATTTCATCCTTGCTACGACAGGTGGTAGAATCATTGGAAAATCGGAGCACTGATTCTTCAACTGCATCAGCCGGTCGGGAAGCAGCAGTCACTGGAGGCCGGTGAACCGTAGCTACTGCTCGGATAGCACACACAAAATACCTATATCCCCCTGGCCATCTGGTAAGGTTTTCTAATCTCTCACTTGAATTATGTTTAATCTTATTGTGGTTTCCACCACTATTCACAGATGATAATATAGGAACGCGCAGACTCTGAATAACAAGAGTCTTTCCATCACCGTGAGTGTTTAAGTAAGTAGACCTTTGGCCCATAATACCGCCTGGTAACAATGTTTGTTCAACACGAAGGCGTTGCGCCTCACGAACTGCATCTGTTCGTCTCAAACCTGTAAATAATACAATGAATGACTAAACACTAATTTTCTGCCAATATTTTTATGTATAAATAGCACTTATAAACATCAGGATGTTGATGTTAATAAAAAATAAAAATTTTGTTCATCAAAAGATTAACTATAAATCTTAATATATCAGTTTATACAGTTACATAGTTAATATAACAGTTTTAATATAAATTAAAAATGTATACATTGTAATTTAGTAACATACAATAGAGATGATATGTTGTTGATATCTATGACCGTCATAGATGACAACAAAAGAGCAAAAAACGTTTTTAATTATTAATTGCTAATTCAATTTTTATCGTTAAACATATTATTTTCTTAAATTTATAATACTTGGAAAATATAAAGTCAAAAAAACTATCAGTGGATGATCAATAAATTGATTCATTATTTATAAAGTTATTAAGTTTTTTTAAAGTTAAAATTACACTACTATAGTGTATACAAATTAAGTTATGAGTTCAATAATTATTATAAGTTACTTCTTTGACAAAATGTCCAATTTACCTGCAATCAATAAAAGTCGTTCAGCGTGCACATGCTCAGGTGAAAATTGATGAGAAATCACTGGGCGAAGGGTATTTTTTTGCCTGTATACATCGCAAATATTCAAAGCTTGGGTAGCTTGTTCAATAATGCGGTCTTGCTCTGGCACCACAGTCCGTTCCAAGTCTCTAGCTCGTTGCGCTACTTTATCCAGCTCTTGCAAGTACATTTCTTCTTCGTCAGTATCATCATCCTGTTCTTCATTTACTCGTTCTGGAATTCTCATTTGTTGCTATAGAAAAGTATACACATAAGTATAGGGTTATATATACTGGGTGTAACAGAAATACATGTAGTCAAGAATGAAAAATTGATACTAGTTAAATGTACGACAAAAATTATAAAAATAATATGGATAATATTTATAATTTAAGAAATATACAAGAAATATTAGAAAATTAACTAAATTCTGTTATACCTTGTATGTAAAATAAAAGGTAAGTGAAAAATTAATGTTAAAATAATAACAATTTGGAATATTGAAGTACAAATTTGTACTTAGTGGTTAGGAACAATAAAATGTTAACAAAGTACAATAGATACCTTGCTAGAAGAATTTATGCCATTTAATCTGAGTTGTTGCTGTTGTTTACGATACGTGCTAACTGTGTGTAAAAGTGCTGGCTTCATATTTTTGCTACTACTGCTGCTGTTGCTGCTGCTGCTACTGTTATGTTTGTCAGGTTCAAAATTGTCAACAATATGTTTGCCGTTGTCAAACTGAAGTCGACCACGAGGACCAGACTGATTAGGCGATTGGACATTATTGGGAATAAGTTCCGCTGCTTCCTCTTCTCCATCGGAATTCACAAACTCGAAGTATTTATCAATGAGCCGTGACTCAGGCAATTGATTGGCCTGTGCATTGAATTGCTGATCTTCTAACCCTTGTCTTTGCTCCATTGAGGTAGAAAAACTTTTGTTACCACAGAGACTTTCATTGCCACGATGGAATATAAAACTGGAACAAGCCTGAGACAGCGGACTACCTGCATGGCTTGACAGCATAGAGCAGTGGCCGCCACCAGGGGTGGTATTAATCCCTGTGACAGGCGTAGATGGCGAAGTTTCCTATAAATGTACATATCATTAGTAAATATAAAATACAAAATATATAAATATATGACGACAATAACCTCTAGAAGTGCAGCTACGTCAATTGTCTCTGGATTTTTTTCTTTTTGTTGGCTCCGATAGCGTTTAGCACCCAAAATTTCAGCATTATCGCAGTCTTCAGGTACAGATTCAGAAGATGCAGTAGAAGTATTTAAAGCGCTGCTTCCATTGCTGCGTCTCTACATACATTGATTATAGAAATCAACACATTAATAAACATATATAAATTAGATAAACAAAAACAACACAACTACCTTGCATGCCATAGATTGGATTTCCAATGGAGTCATCAAAGGTTTGATATCATGATCATCATCTGCTATCAAAGATAGGTCCGGATACAAGTTGGCAGATGGTGAAGCCGGCTTGTATTTTATACAATCTGTAAAACAATAAAGACGCAGCATCATGAATAACATGAAACTCTATAAAAATGATGCAAGATGCAAGGATTATAAATATAATGTTATGGTGTTTAAAATAATTTTTAGGTAGTTTTTTGCAATACATGAGAATGGTTATGTGTGGGAATGAGTACAGTATTAAAAGGATTTAAATACTGGTATTACACTGGTTTGTCATCAGTCGATAGACAAATACTTTCATTTTATGTTTACCGACTTCTTGTGGATCGGGATTGTTTGTCGATTGATAACAAAATGTGTTGATCAACCAAAGACAAACAAGTGTTAATACCAAGTAGTTTATAAGGTAAATAAAAATAAAAATGATATAATAATTATAATTATTATTGTACCTGGATTAAACTTATCAAAAGGACTTCTCATTCCAACTTTATCTTTTGGGCAATTATCGGTCATTTGTTCCCCATCTTCCAGTTCATTGATCAATTTCTTTTTTAGAAGCACATTTTTTATACACGGGGGAGTCCATATGGATCGTTGCTGTTCAGTCAAATTGTTTGAGGCTGCAGCAGCACCATGGCTCATTCTAGGTCTAGTGCCACGTCTTGAAGGTGGGGTAGATGCACTACAAGGAATAGGACGTGGTGGTGTTTTAATTACGTCTACTACAGATTCTTCAGTTGCTTCATTGGTAGCAGTTGTCGAGGTTTTAGTAATAACAGCGGCAGGAGTAGTTTTAGTCAGAGATATGGTGACGGTAGTAGTGGTAATTGGTTTTTTACTCTGCTGTTGAGTAGCATTGTTTGGCTCAAATAAAGCTCGACGTTGTGCAACTGTCAAAGTAGTAGCTGTGAGATTTGGTGAATGTTTTTGAGGCAAAGGTCGATCATCTGACTGCTGCAATTGGCGAAATTGCTTCAGTTTATTATTATCCTGCTTTTGTTTTGGTTGCTGTATAGTAGCTGATTTATTTTCATTAGTCTAGAATACAAAAATAAATTTTTATAATAATTTTTAATTAAATAATATATTTTATCGATGACTACTTCAGTATTACTATATATATATTAACATTGATTATGGAACACTATAGATGGCCCACTGGGGTACAAAATATGCTACACTAAATCTACTAGTGATCCTGGTGTTATTATGCAAAACTGACTAGGTTGTGTGTTTTGTACTGCAGTGGGCCATCTATAGTATTCATAATCAATACATATCTTTCAATTTAATCTTACTGTGTATAACTTTATAGTATTACCTCAATTATATCTTTTGTAATAGCATATTTTGGAGACGAAATTGTTAATTTTTTTGATTCATTTTGGCTGTCATTAATTTGTATTGTCTTCTAAATATAAATAAAAAACACAGTTTACATACATATTACTTCTGCTATTGTGCATCTATGTATCAATTACATATTTACTGTGTACATAATTTTAGATATACAGGTACTATTATTAATATTACATCACTTTTAACATTGGTTTTATAGTAAACCAAAAAATTATAATATCAATACAATTATTGTAAATATAGTAACAAAACGGTATGAAAGCAACTACACCTATGAAATGGACAGGCAGAAGTCGTGACAGATTGGTACAATTTTTGCAGTGATATTAGTGTTAAATATGAAATACGTACGAAAATGGGTGGTGTAAGAATCAAGTGCAAATAGACGAATCTTTATTTCAAGGCAAGCGGAAGTACAACCGTGGTTGTCTACGTCTAGGAGATTGTCAACCTAGAGAAAAATTTGTGGAATCAGAATCTAGCAGTTCTGATACTGAAATAACCAATCGAAATTACAGTTTACGCCTAACCGTGGATGTTTGGAATGTGCTGTAGACATGATCATATAGTAGAACGTCGATTGATTATCGTTAAAAAAAAGAGACCGAGCCACTTTGCTTAAAATTATTCAAAGAGAAATTGAGCCAGGTATGACCATTTTCTCAGATTCATAGAAATCTTGCAACAATTTAAACGATCATGGCTATATCTACAATACCGTAAATCATAAAAATAATTTCATTGATCCACAAACAGGAGCTGAAACTCAAACGATGGAGTGTTATTGGCGACATATAAAGGTGAAATATGGTATAAAATCGCATGATGCCACTAATTTTCTGAAAAAGCAGCTTAAAGAAGAATGGTGGCGCTCCATAAATATTACAAATATTTTCGAAACATTTTTTAATGATATGAATACTTTTCAACTTTATTTGAGAACATTCATTGACAATCTTCATTTATTTATGAAGTGCCCTGGTTTAAAACAACGTAAGATTTTTATATAATTATACGATATAATTCATACGTAGATAGCATACGACATTATGTATTAAAATCCTTAGATAAAGTGTATAGCTGACCCATCATTCCAGCCTAAAATCAATGATTGTATTTTATTTACAATTTACTATGATAAAATTTGATGTATTTACCGTGTGATTGGAAATATTTTCACTTTGTTTAAAGTTCTGATCATCTGACAACCATTGATCTACTTGGCTTGCAAGTTCAGCAAGGCGTGTGCGTCGCTGACGACGTGAAGGTGGTGAAAGTGATTGCTGAATTATTGGTGAGGTTTCCATCATCGATGATGAAGGCGGGAGCACTGGTTGAGATACCTGGGACAAAGTGGATGCAAGTAACTCTTGACGCCTTTGTGTCCTTTCCAACATGCGCTGTAAATACAATAATAGTTTAGAATACGTCTATATACAATATACATATGGGATTATGTATATTATATATATTATATTATATTAGTATTATTATCAGTCTTATTGTCTTATTGTTACTATTTTTTATTTTTATATTTTTATTTTTATTTCAGCATAATTCAGTTATAATACAATAATAACTTAATTAATACAATAAAAATAGTTTTTTTATAATTTTTAAATTTTTAGTACCCAATTCATGAAGCCTTTTTAGTTGTTATATTTCACATGCCTACATGTCCACAAACAGCTCAAAAAGAGTCAAAATGTTTTGAAAATTTCATTAAGTTTGGGAATTGATAAAATAAACATATGGTGTAAATTTCATGTACTAATCTAAGGAGTTATTCGTTTTTGAATTACAACAAAATAAGAAAATCGCTACATGAGAAATCAAGTGAATATCCAATGTTGTAAAATATTAAATTCAAAAGCTCATACAAATTTAATTTGACTTTCTTGTAGATATTTTTTTTTTTTTGATAAAGGTGACAACTTCTGAGATATCTTGTATTACATTTTCAAGTCTTAGATTTAAAATAAAAATTTTTTATGTATTTCTAACTCAAAATAATTTGCACATTTACGAGATTTTTATGTATTTTGTTAAAATTTTAATTTTAAATGCTTATAAAAAAAAATTTTGGTTGAGGAATTTTAATATTTTTCTTATGTCATTGTAACGATATATTAAGAGCCTTGTATTAAATTTACATGTATGTATTAATTTTTTTTAGTCAAAATATTTTGAAAATTGTATCAAATATAGGTAATGCCATTATAAATGTTCTGTTAAAATTTCATGTATCTACGGTGATTTGTTTTAAAGTTACGCAAAACTCAAACTTACTATTAGTAGTATCGAATTACTTTATTAGGTAAACAATGATGTAAGATTAGTACGAAATATAAAATATAAATCAAACTAGGGCTCAAATATATGCAATAAATTTTTTTTTTGAATGTTCATAAAAGAATGTTAATTATTCATAATAATTGTAAAATATGCATGAAGAGAATGTAAAAAAGCTATTCAAAAAAATTCAAAATTACCTAGGTATTAGTAAAATTCCAAAAAAAAAAAAAATGTTTTTTGCAAAGCTTCTTGATATTTTTTTTTATACACAAATTATTTTATGTCGAAGATGTAAATCGAAATTAATTACTGCCTACCTAATGCATAATAAAATATATTTTTTTAGATTCTGAGCGGAACGAGAAAGCTAGTGGTTTTGCAATAGTGTTTATTTTTTATATCCTGTATACAAAATTTCTACCAGAAGGACTGCTTCGAATTCTACATATTATTGTACCTTATAATTATATCTGCAACAACAATAAATAGGTACCTATGTACATTAAATAATATTGAGTTTTATACTTATTCAATATTACCTATTATTAAAATACACAGCTTAAGAAAGGAAAAAAATATTAAATACCTATGCATAATCTGCATATGAAAATCGAGAAATAAGCACTTTTTTCATAAAATTGATGAACAATTTCATTTTTATACTTGGAATTATATAGCTCCGAGTTTCTAACTTGGTTCGCTTTAAATTGAGAACATATAGAATAATATGCAACTCCTACAACTTTCGAGCCCCAGTAATAACTAATAACAGTTTAATGACTGAATAAAATATGTAGGTAAATACTTTTTATTAGTGTCTCATTAAATGTAAATAAGCGTAAATCGGTAAATAAGTATAGATATATCTAGCTTAAATGGTTTGTAATTTTTAAAGGTAAACCCAAACCGGGTTAAAATAGTCATCCGGCATAAATTAATAACAAACAAAAAAAAATTAATGAATGGAAAAAAATTTACTAAATACTAACTTTACAATACAATATTTTTTGATACTATTTAGAGGGTCTTAGCCTTTCCCTTGTTGGGAAATTTAGCTTGAGAGAAGTTTACTTCATTCATATAATAAAAACTCAGTCCTTTGAAAACACAAGTTAAAAAGAGTTATAGAAGGATGAGAGTTAAATAACTATAGGTACTACCCTCCAAGCAAAAGTGCCATAAAACCAATATATAAGTTTTGAGAAAAATGCAGTTTTGTAATTTTCATTTTATTATACCTACATACCTTTATTATTTGTTTGTCTATATTTGATTTAGTATAAAAATATCTACCTTTATAATTATTTTTGACAAGGAATGCAATGGAAAAATTAATTTAAAGTATTATTTGCTTATTACCTATACAAATAAAAGTTACTTTTATGGCATTACCTATTAATATAAACTGTTTATACTAGCTGTGTATATTTACTAAGGATAAAGGAAATAAGTAAATTTTACTAATATACTTAATACTGATAAATAGTAATCAGAACAAGTAACATTATTATTTTATCTTAACATATTGACCATAGTAAAATAATGAAGCGATAATAAACTTTCCAAATAATAATAAAGAAGTTGTTTTATAGGCATTTACTTATCAAACAATTGTTATTTAATACCTACACAGGTACATCGATAGTCAATACATATAGATAAATCTAATATAGAAATAAAATATAATAATTTTTAAAGGAAATTCAAATAGGTAGGTACCTACCTATCAAGTTACTGCATATGAACCTAGAAAGTGAACATGGTTTTCTTATTTTAATAACAATAACAATAAGTTACGGATTTTCTTGGTCTCAACAAATATAAATTACCTACCTATGCTTAAAATGAAGACAATTATATTCCGTAAACAATGGACATTAATGCATTATATATAAATTATTTTCTATTAAAGATGGACGCCGTACGCAACAGTGCGACGCTTCCTAAATCCTTCACACGGTGCCCATGACAGTGATTTAGTATTATGTCTATCGGCTGTTGTATAATAATCGTCGTAATAAATTACCCATAACACATCCCAATGATTTACCTCTGTAAAGTCGTCCATGGTGAACCGCTTGAGAAGAGCAGTTGCAGTTTCCGACAGTCACTGCCCGGCTGGGCTGTACGATATACGGCCGTCGGCTGGACGAAAAACAGACAGCGAAACTCGGTACGGGGAGATTTTCTGCGACGGTTTTGATGAAAAAACAAACGAAAACGATCGACTCGACGTGGGCGAAGTGTGTTTGACGGGACACGGACAACGAAACAATAAAAGCGCGGGTATTCAGTTTTTTTGTATTTTCTGGTTCGAATTTAACGTCCGGCAATCTCGTAGACGTGTTAGTGCCGCCGCGCTGCATAGCGCCGTAACAACAATATTTATGTCGGAGGGGATAGGCGAACGCAGCGCAACTGTCGTTTTGTAACCGTCGCTGTGGAGGTACTCGTCGTCGCATCGGTAGCTGATGTGGTACGGCCTCGGGCATACCCCCTCCCCCCCGCGACCATCGGTTGACAACCGACGACTCGTAACTCGTTCCTATGCGGGAAAGGGAAATGGCCGTTGAGATTTTCGATTTAAAATTATTTTAAATGGCATCATCAACGATGCCAGCGCGTCCGTGCCGTATATTATAATTACGTAGTACGTACCATGGATGGTAATAATATTGTATTGGTATATACGCCCGTGTTCCGTACGCACTGCGCGTCATGCATACCTATTACATACGTGTTATGGGTGTATCATACATGGGTTTTTAAGAATATTAGATATCTAGACACGCGGTAGCGTGTCAAGCCAAGTTCTAGCTAACAGAACTGGCGAGCAGCACCGTGTGTAATATTACACGAACCATTTGGAGCCACTTTTGACCCCCTCATAACTCAAAAACTATTCCACATAAACATGTCAAATTTGGCTCATATATTGAGACTAACGAAATACATATGTGCTCTAAATTTCATAAACACACTTCAAACCGTTATTTAGATATTAACGTCCGAAAATCGTCATTTTTATCACTGACTTACCTATAGATCAAAATTCTAACCCAGTTCCAGATGAACTAGAAAGTTCAAATTTGGCATACAGATAGGTAGTTAGGTAAATACAAAGGAAAAAATCAGAAACTTGAAAATTTTTAATTTAAAATTTTTTAATTTTTAATTTTTAATTTTTTAATCAATTGATTTTATTATGATTTTGCAATTATTTAATCTATTATGTTTAATTTTTCAATTTATTAATAAATTGCCTCTATATTAATGTAATGTAATGTTGACTTAAATAACCTTTCCCGTATCGCCGCTCCAAAAATACGACTAGCCGAATATGTGTCGATATTGCCGACCGGCGCGCAACAACATACTTTTTTTTCTATCTATGTATGTAATTAATATTATTTTTTTTAAATATTACAATTAAAATAATTAAATAATTATTCTTACAAATTATGAATTATCCACCCAACAGTAGAAACTACAGTCAATAAAATTATGATAATTAAAAATATACTCAAAAAGAGTTAAAATAATTGTATATTAATTTTACATATATTTTATACTCTGTATATACAACGGAAAATATTTTATAATAAATATTATTATTAATATTAGGAACTGAATTATATTATATAGTAATAAACTTTATTTATAGAATACGTCATGGCTAGGTTAGGTTGTGTTATAATAATTTACATACAAAAAGTAATGATATCCCACCAAAAACATATATGTAAAATGAGAGCCAAGTTCAGTACTATAATATATGCTTTGGTTGTTGACTTCAACGACAAAAGAAGTGAGATCTAAATGGGTGCCAAGTTAGGATAATATATTGAAGCCTAAGGTCTGACTTGGCTACGAATTATATATTATATCATTTGCAAGTTCTAAAGCTTTGAGTTCTTATTTTATTCTCCGGAAAATCATCTTCACTCTTCCATTACTGTTTTAGGAGGTACTTATAATAATAATTCGTATATGAAAAGTAGCCAAGTCACACCTTAGGCTTCAATATATTATCCTAACTTGGCACCCATTTAGATCTCACTTCTTTTGTCGTTGAAGTCAACAACCAAAGCATATATTATAGTACTGAACTTGGCTCTCATTTTACATATATGTTTTTGGTGGGATTTGTTTTACATGAGATTATTAAAACTTGCCTAAAAAATGCACCATTTATATTTTTACATACTCATACCGCATGGAGCCTGACGATTTAGGGAGAAGTGAAAAATATTTTTCATATTATTATTATTACATTTTATTACCCGTATTTCCCGTTGTTGCAATAATAAATACTATATAAATAAAAATGTTTAAAACCTACTTTAATCAAAGTAAAAATAATTTAAAAGGTTAAAGATAAGTGTCAAGTGATAGCTGATAGGCGATAGCACTGTTTGTTATTGTTTTTTTTTATTCAGGCCAAATTATTATAATAAAAAAATAAAAAAAAATAGTCTATCGTTTACTACTCTACTATTAGTATTTAGTACCTAGTACCTACGTACTTAAAAGAAAAGTTCATGTTATTATAATATACTATTACTACCTATATAAATATACAAACAAATAGTAATAGTGTATAATAACATGAACATGTAGGTGTCATGAGAATAATAATAAACTTTTTTTAATTTTATTTTTACTCGAATATTCAGCAGGGTTATAAGTTATAGCTAGCAATTATTATTGTTAATTTCAACAAACTAACTACAATATTTACAACGAATCAACCATGAGCAGAAAACTAACACAATTCAAATACTTATATGGTTAGGTTACCTAATAAGTAATACTAATACTATTATTGTTATATGTATAGGTTCAAATATTCAAAAATATTTAATATAATATAGGTACTAGTGCATTACCATTAGCCCTTAAAATTTAAATACATTATATAAAATAGTTTATTTATCTCTTGATATTGAAAAAAAAATTACTACTTGGGTAGGTAGGTAGGTACCTACTGCATGAACAAAATATAAATTAATGTTCCATAATATATTAATAATAGTATAGTCGGTTACTTACAGCTGCAGTATATTTAAAGGTTTTAATAATTATTAATTATTTTAACTATTAAAGTTAAGTTTATTATCTTAATATTGCATTTATAATAGTTTATATAAAAAAAAAATGATGCTGTTTTGTAAAATAAAATTAAAATACCTATCGCAAAAAACCAAAACATGAAAATAGCAATATTCTTAAATTTTAATTTGATAAAAATTCACTGTACCTATTATTAAAATTTAAAGTTAACAACAACAAATTGGAACTGTTGAAGTTGAACTTAAATTAGGTATGCTGTACAATAGTAAACATGATAGGTAGGTATGTACGTTATAGTAACTATTAAAAATAAATGATGATTCTTTATACTATGTTACTTTAATGTATAATATAACTATAGCTATATCATAATTTTTATGTTAGAAAATATTATTTAATTAATTATAAATAATACCAGATACAGATTATTAATTACTAAATAGGTATACCAACTATTAATCATAAAGAGACATTTTGATTCCATTTTCAGAAAATTGCATATTAATTTCACTGTTATTATGTCTGATTCATCACACTTATCAAGAATATTCTAAAGCTTTAAATAGTTTAATAGTCAAAGGTGTCTAGATTCTCAAAAACAAATTCCAGTGAATTTTTTCATTTATTATTTATTGGTTTGTTTCAACGCCAAAATTCTATTGGAACATTTATCATATTTATATTTTAATAGAACCTATTCAGAAACCCAGAGTTGTACACATTGTACCTAGGTTAAGGAAAATCTATCGCAGTTCCTACCTACTGCCTAGTGCCTGGGTAGGTACTGGTTACTACAGTAGTAGTGTAGTACCCACAGTAAGTACCTAATATATTATGGTAATTATAATTTATAACTTAAAAGTTGAAACTATAGATAGGTAGGTACTACCTAATGTAACTATACAACATTACAACCTACTACCATTGATTATAAAAATAAACGTGTACTAGTATTTATAATCAATGGTACAACTACCTACCAATTGAGGTTAACAAAACATTATTTTGTGTTTGTACCTACAGTAGGTACATCAGTATTTACCTACTTATACAAGATCTATAATCTGAGGGGGATACATAATGTATCATACATTGACTATTTAGTAATTTAGTATTTATACTGTATTATACCTATTACACTATTATTATAGCTACTAATAGTAATAGATTATTCTTGATAAATTAACAACAATAATAAATATGTGTAAATTAAAAAATATATTATAATATAACATACCATTGTCTGCGAGACCGCCTTTTCCTGAATCGTGATCGTTTTATTACTTTAAAAATAAATACATTACATAGTAATTTTTGCTTCTTAAAAATGACAACAAGAGAACGTTTTATTTATTACTAAATTATTTTTTTACCAAATAGCTGTTGAGTGAGTTCAATATTTAAAATTATATAGGTCAATTAAAATAATATTAGTTATAACGAGTGGTGAAAAACAAATGATTTACAAATGTTAAAAAATATGTAATAGCTTCGTTAATGATTTAAGTGTATAATATATTAATATCTAATTAAAGAAATATCGATAGCAATGGTGAAATATTGGAAATATTGGTGTTAGAAATAAACTAATCATTTGATCTATTGTTTTGTCTTTTATTTAAGCAAATAATATTATAACAACATAATACTAATAGCCTTTAGTAGTACATTTAATTATAAACCATTACTCACTAATTAGTCATTAGGTACACATTGCTTAAACATGGATCATTAATTATCAAGATAAATATTTGATTAATCAGCCAATACTGAGCAGTGACCAGTTAGTAGGTCTTATACGATATACATAAATACATAGTACCAAAACGATAATTATAGTAACTTATTCCTGAGTAAACAGTAAATACAATAATTATGTGATTCAATCAGGTAATAATATTTATAATATTAAATACAAAATGTTGTTAATTAGTTAATAGTTAATATCATCATAAATCATAATTTGTTATATTATTATAAAAAAACCAAAATAAACGAGATTATCATGTGATAGCCGTAAATCGTTATAGCCGAATAATGGTAAACTACGTATACTGCAGTTACATAATATTATAAATTAAATTATGAACAATTATTTTTAACTATAATTCTGTGGTTCATTTTGTTATATTATTATGAAAGACAATTTGAATGATTTGACACTTACAAAACAATTTGTTCAAATTAGTCGATATTTAGTAGTTAAGTAACTTATGTCTTAATAATTATGTACCTAAACGCAAATACTATAGATTAGATTATTAGAGTACGGGAAGCTCGTAAATTTTCTAGGGGACACTGCAACACTCAATATTATACTAGGTTGCCTATATAAACCCCTTGATTTTTGTTTTTTATACACTGATATTATATGATATTATAATACCGGAACTAACAGAATGCCTTAGTGTTTGGGTTGTTAAACAAACACGCATTGATGAGAATGGCGGTAGATTAATGTGAATTTTGTTTAATCGAACAGCTAACCTTGGCTTTTTGATTTTGTCTAAATTGTAAAAATCTACTAAGTCTGACCAACTACAAGAATCATTGTCAATTGTCATAATATCTAATCTATAGTATTTTCTAAACGTATTAATTCAAGATGACGCTATACAGTTTTTAAGTGGTTTGAATGGTTTGGTATAAGCATTTTTAAGAAATGTGAAATTTTAACAATTAAATGAATTATACTTTAGTACAATAATATGATAATACTTAAGTACCTATAGGTGCTTGACACTTGTACAAAATAAATGTGTATAGGTACCGGATTGATAGCTGCGGCTATTATTTAAGGGGCATTTAGGCAATTTTTAATCTTAATCGCCCAGGATCTATTTGGTAGTAAACGATTAATAATATAAGTAAAATGTAATGCTAGAATCATTCTCGTACGCTCATGCATAAGTCGATAACACGATAAAAATATAAAATTCACTATTTTAGTATAATACGAATCTTATGAAAACTTACTTATTGTTTTGACAAAATTAAAGTTGTTTGATTTTGATTCTGAAAAAATATTTGAATTCATCAGAAAAATGTCTGTAGATTGTACTAAACACTCCGCTTTAAATATGAATTTGAATTTGAATTATGATTTGAAAAATCTCATATGTTCTAGTTTTTAATTACAGTTCACAATAATATATGATTTAATTTTTATAAAATGTTTTATACGATTATAGAAAATTTTCTGCAGAGTTCAAATTTTGTTTCAGAACCAAAATCGAAATCGGACAATGTAAACTAATTTTAATTTTGTCAAAACTTAAGGTCTTATAGCTAAAATTGGCTGCAATAGCAAGACCCCTTATTATGTACTGTTTTTAGATTCTGAGTGAAACGATGAATGTATTGATTTTACAATGATGTGTGTTTTTTTATTTTTTTATTTTTTATTTTTGTGTCTGTGTACACGATAAGCAGTCGAAATAATGCTTCGATTTTCGACTTCAGAATCTTGTTCGATTGGAAAGTGAATATCGTTGGTGTATTGGGGAGGTCAAAATTTAAAATTCCAGTACTTTTCAAAAGCGCCAAGAAAAACAAAAGAAAAATTAAGGAAAAACGGGAATTTTTACGCAAAATCGATTTTTCAGAAAATTGAATTTGGTTTTTGGTGTAACTTTAAAACAAATGACCGTAGATACATGACATTTTCACTGGTTGTTTATATTTGCATTTTCTATACACGATAACATTTTCAAAATATTTTGATTTATTTTGAACTGTTTAGGGACATTTTAATTTTTCATTTTTTTTTTAGTTTTTTTTCTAGAAATATCAATAAAATTTTATTTGTTGGTTAAAAAAACTTGAAAATTTAATAGAAGGCTCCTAGAATATTGTTTCAAAGGCAGATGAAAAATATTAAAAATCGTTAGTCACGGTTTTTTTTTTATAAGCATTTAAAGTTCAAAAATTGACAAAATATGGAAAAATCACAAAAATTAGCAAATTATTTTGAGTTAAGAATTCGTAAATATTTTTCTTTTTTAATCTAAGATTTAAAAGTGTAATACAAGAATACTCATAAGTTTGTCTACCTTTATCAATAAAAAAATCTCTACCGGACAGTCAAATTAAATTTTTATGAGCGTTTGAAATTCAAATTTTTACAACATTGGATATTCACTCGATTTCTCATGTAGCGATTTCCTTATTTTGTTGTAATTCAAAAACGAATAACTGTAGATACATGACAATTCCACTGAATGTTTATATTAGCATTTCCTATACACCATTCAATTTTTAAAATATTGTGACTCTTTTTGAGCCGTTTACGGATATTTTCAGTTTTCAATTTTTTTAGTTTTTTTTTCTATAAATATCAATAAAGTTTTATCTGTTGTGCCAAAAAGTGTAAAAAATTAATACAAGGTTCCTGATATATTGTTACAATATCAGTTGAAAAATATTAGAAAATACATAGGCACAATTTTTTTTTATAAGAATTTAAACATCGAATTTTGACAGAATTTTTCAAAATCTCGAAAATGATTAATTATCGTAATTAATAAATTATAAAATGTTCAGTTTTTATAGCTAAGGATTGAAAATTTAAAACAAGATTCCACGTAAGTAGTTAATTCTCTTACCGAAAAATCTAAAAAATATACAGTCACAGTTTATTTTTATAGTCATTTTATGTTCAAATTTGAACGAAATTACATATTAAAAAACCTAGATATTTTGTTGTGATTATATAATATTATTCGTGGGTATCTACTTGAAACTTCTAAAGTGTACTATTATATATCTATGATAGTATCAGGGTTTGTTATTGATGTTGATGTATAACGTGTTATAAGTACCTAATGGATATTGTGATAATGTGATATGATTAATTTGGAATTTATTATAGGTCAATTTTTTTTTAATACCACAGATTTGTACATAATTTGTCTTAAACCTAGACTGACATACCGTCTTCGCTCAGAATCGTTTTTCTTATACAATGATATTATATCATTGAATTCAAATTTAATACCATCCATTATACAGTGACCCACTATTGTAACCTACTGTACAGCAGAGCGACATCCACTTACCCACCTTTTTTAAATGTTAATAGATCATAAGCAAGTATAAACTAACAATACTATAGTAGGTAGGTACTCTTAACAGAATGCATATAGGTACTGCAGGGTTGGATAACGACCGCGAGAATCTTACGATTAAATTATGAAATTTATTAAGAACGAAATTAGTTATATACCTTTTTTTATTATTATTTAATATATTATATTATTACGATTAATTACGATTAAAAAATAAAAATGTATTAACTAGGTACCTACTTTGTAATAATGAATCATTATGATATTTCTATCGTTTTTAACTGGCGATTGATGTAATCCTAACTAAGATTTAAAATATTATGCTTATATTATGATTTGTGTAGTGTAGGTATATCACGACGGCATGACTAAATAAATAAATAAATAATAATAATATTATTATTATATTTTAGTCATGGCGTATGTATGCGCAATTATCGATATCATATATCTCTCTTGACTCTTATCATTCCGATGTTTATGCTCCGCAGAATTATCGTTTACGATACTACAACCGTGACCGTAACGATGGCGGTGTTCGATCTTTGGTAGTTTGTTTACTAATTGAAGGTGGTGAAATATGATGCCATATAGGTTTTATTGATTGTTACGTCACTGGAACAAGACATCGTAATTATAATAAGTGGCAGTGGCGGTCGAAACAGGCCATACAGGGACGCAGCTGCAGCTGCTGGTTATCGTTATTCAGGCTATCGTGTACTATCAGTGTTCGATTGTGCTGTTGTTGTCGGGTATCAGCCTAGATACTGATAACAATGTTTTGATTATTATTACTCCGGCCGAGTGCGTTGTACCAATATTCTGAAATAAGCGATATACATCAAGTTTAAGGCGGAAACGACGACAACCGAAGCGTACACGAGCACACCCAGCGAGGCTTTTCCGAGGCGCCCGCCGACTTTCGATCCCACCCACCACCAGCGGCCGAGTGACGTCGTCATTCGACATTCAAGCGGCTACGATAAGGGATGACAGATGACGGCTAGCTTTTAAAGCAGATTGCACTACAACTACTATCAACGACTCATCGCAAGAGCCCGATACGTTTTCACCAAAGTTGCCGTCACAACTACGACGCAGACGGCCGACGTATCACAGGTGAAACCGTTTCGACAACGGCTGATATGGTGCCGGCAGCCTTGGCACCCGGCGCTTTCGTGTTGTTACTGCTCTCCGTGGTATTAGTACTGGTTACCTTGCTAACAGCATTCATTGTTAAATTGGCGCTGTCCTGTAGCCCAGTCTGTAGCGAAACGGACGACGAAGCTCTCGAGTGTGAGTTGCACAGCAACGTCGAAGAACGAAAGCCCAACTCACGCCGGTCGAACGCCAACGACACCCAAATGATTGACGTCAACAATTATTAAACACGGTAAGTCACTTTTATATTGTAGGTACTCCTAGGGCCCAGGGCCCCTTTTATTCTAATAAATGGGTCGCAGCGTACGTGTAAGCACAATTACAAAAGTAATTGTTCTTTGAAGTTTGTAGATTATTCAAGTCTCTCTAGATAAGTTGACAATTAATCAGTTTTTTTAGGCGTGTTTCGTGTTTGATACCTAGGTAGTTACTATTAAATACGACACACTGCACGTCGTCGCCATTTCGTGATGATTGCCATTGTTTGGTACCGTATTTTATCACTTTATTTATGATTTATACTAACAACTGACCTTCTTTGCGTAAAGACGTACTAAAATTGATTACGTGAACCTGTTGACGCGATATGGACAAATCATCGTTTTGGAGGGGGCATAGGTTTTGTACATGCTAGTACACAGTTCAACTTCATTTTGCTGTTAAGTATGAACTCTTGACGGCATCCAAGTTTTAGCTTTGTAGTCTGTACGTATTTATATTTTATCGAAAGTCGAAACTATTGTAATTTATAAATTAATATTCTTTCTGACAAACTCTTCAGCTCTGCAAACAATTGTAATAATAATTGTATTATTGAAGAATTAATCTAAAACGGCATCGTACACACTATAATTATTCGAAATAATGATTTTCAACTTCAGTATATTTTCCAATGGGAAAGTGAATCTAGTTGGGGGTATTAGGTAGGTCAAAGTTAAAATTATCAGTAGTTTTTAAAAACAAAAAAAATTTTAAGGAAGAACAGGAATTTCACGCAAATTGTTTTATTTATAAGTAGGTAGTTATTTTCAGTTTAAATTTGGAAAAAATTAGATATTTAAACGAAAATTAAAGATTTTAGTTTTGTGTTTTAATTTGAAAATTTTATTTGTTTGTACTTGAAACTTATAAAGTGTATTATTATATAATACAAATATGATGATAAACAAATAGAAATAACTAATAATAATAACTAAATGCAAATAATATTAATATTAATTATGTAACTTGCCAACTATCGTATTTTAATTACAATATATTAAATAATAAATATAATTAAAAATATCCTAGGCTGACAAATCGTCCCCACCCAGAGTTGTTTTTCGTATACAATGATATTATAGGTATATAAATAATATGAATTCAAATTTAACACCATCCATTATAGTGACTCACTTATAACCTACTGTACTGCAGAATGTCACCCACGTATGAAGCTTGTGAAGGATTGTGAATTAAATCTTAAAATCTTAGATACTTATAATATAAAGAAAATTTTTCTAACTTTTTATGAATTTCTAACTCAAGTATTTGTCAATTTTTGGTGATTTTGACGATTTTTGTTGAAATTCTAATTTCAGTCTTTCATTACAAATAATTGTAATTTTTTTTTTTTTATTTCATTACCTTTCTATAAGAAAACATTTTTACAGTAAAATAAAACACAACATTGTAAAATTAATGATTTTACTCAGAATCTAAAAAATAAATGAGTAATTTTTTAACAATAATAATCATATCAAAATAATATACGTTTTAAGTTCAAATTCGACAAAATTGGATATTTTATATTCAAACAAAAAATAACGATCTTTGTTATTTTGGTGTAATTCATAAATAATTGTTCTTGGAATTTTGCAACTTTTCGTTAATGCTTTGGTATATTAGTATGTTATACACTATGCAATTTTCTAAAATATTTAGATTTGTCTTAAGCTATTAATATAATAGTAATAAGCAATTCCTTAGGTACCTATTTATAACACGGACCTATTCACACAGTTGTACGGTAAGTTCGTATTGACTATAGTCATCATAATGCCTAAGGTTATATAATAACAATAATATATATTATATGATATAAATATATTATACTATTTTAGTAATTACTAATTATTAATATAATAAATACTAGGCTCAAACATGGCAGACGAAATTTTAGATTCTGAACGGGACGAATGTGTTGATTTTACAATGATGTGTGTTTTTAAAATTTTTTTTTTCATTTAATTTAAATTATTTTAATTTTTGTGTCTGTCACCACCGTTTGGGGCAGTAAAACTGCTTTGATTTTCTTCAACAGTTTCTTTTCTGATAGGGAAGTGAATATAGTTGGTACTTTGGGGGTCAAAAGTTTTCAAAAGTACCGTGAAAAACGAAAGAAAAATTAAGGAAAACCGAGAATTCTTACGCAAAATCTGTTTTCGAGAAAATCGATTTCGGTTTTTGGTGCAACACTTAAACATATGACCGTAGATACATGAAAATTGTACTGAATGTTAATATTTTTATTTTCTATACACCATTATATTTTGAAAATATTTTGATCCTTTTTGAGCTGTTTACGGACATGGTCAGTTTTCAATTTTTTCGTTTTTTTTTTATAAATTAATATCAATACAATTTTATTTCTGGGTAAAAATGCTTAGAAATTTAATACAAGACTCCTACTATATTGTAACAATGACTTTTGAAAACTATTAAAAATCCATAGTCACAGTTTTTTTTAATAAGCATTTAAAGTTCAAACATTAACAAAATACGTAAAAATGACGAAAAATTGCAAATTATTTTGAATTAGAAATTGAGTTAGAAATTCATAAAAAAATTTCTTTTTAAATCTAAGATTTGAAAATGTTATACAAGATTCCTCATAAGTTTGTCTACCTTTAACAAAAAAAAAAATAGTGCTCCGCTGTACAGTAGGTTACAAGTGGGTCACTGTATAATGGATGGTATTAAATTTGAATTCAATAATATAATATCATTGTGTAAGAAAAACAATTCTGAGCGGAGAAGGTATAAGTCTAGGTAGAAGACACATTGTAAACTTATCTATAGTATTCAAAAAAATTTACCAATAATAGGTACCTATAATAAATTCCAAATTAATCATATCACAATATCCATTAGGTACCTATAACGCGTTATACATCAACAACAAACCCTGATACTATCACATATATATAATAGTGTACTTTAAAAGTTTCAAGTACCAACGAATCATATTATAAAATCACAACAAAATAACTAAAATACTTATTCTAGGTTTTTTATTATGTAATATCGTCCAAATTTTAACTTAAAATGACTAAAAATAAACTGTGGTTATGCATTTTTTAGATCTTTTGGTAACAGAATAAACTACTTACGTGGAATCTTATTTTAAATTTTCAATCCTTAGATATAAAATTTGAAAATCTTATAAATTTTTAACTACAAAATAATTATTCAATTTTAAATTTGATACATTTTGTCAAAATTCGATCTTTAAATGCTTATAAAAAAAGTTGTGCCTATGTACTTTTAATATTTATCAACTAATATTGTAACAATATATCAGGAGCCTTGTATTAAATTTTTACACTTTTTAGCCAACAGATAAAACTTTATTGATATTTATAGAAAAAAAATATATTTAAAACTGAAAATGTCCGTTTACATCTCAAAAGAGTCAAAATATTTTCAAAATTGTATATTGTATAGGAAATGCTAATATAAATATTCAGTAAAATTTTCATGTATCTACAGTTATTCGTTTTTTAATTACAACAAAATATGGAAATCGCTAAATGAGAAATCGAATGAATATCCAATGTTGTAAAAATTTTAATTTCAAACGCTCATAAAAATTTAATTTAACTTTCTTATAGACATTTTTTTTTTTATAAAGGTAGATAATCTTATAAGGAATCTTGTATTACATTTTAAAACCTTAGATTTAAAAAGAAAAATGTTTACGATTTCATAACTCAAAATAATTTGTTAATTTTTGTGATTTTTCCATATTTTGTCAATTTTTGAACTTTAAATGCTTATAAAAAAAAACTGTGACTTCGGATTTTTAAATTTTTTCAAATGCCATTGTAACAATATAGTAGGAGCCTTGTATTACATTTTCAAGCTTTTTAACCAACAAATAACATTTTTATTGATATTTATAGCAATAACTAAAAACAATGGAAATGATAATGTGCCTAACAGTTCAAAATAAATCACTCATTTGAACATGTTATCGTGTTATAGCAACTGCTAATATAAACATTCAGTCAAAATTTCATTTACCTACGGTCATTTTTTTTAAGAGTTGCACCAAAAACCAAAATCGATTTTTTCGAAAATAGATTTTAGTGTAAAAATTCTCGTTTTTCCTTAATTTTTATTTTGTTTTTCAAGCCGCTCTTGAAAACTACTGTGAACATTTCACTTTTGACCCCCCCCCCCCTCCCCCCAAAGTACCAACTAGATGCACTTTCCTATCAGAAAAGCTACCATTTGAAGAAAATCCAAGTACTTTTACTGTCCTAAAACTTGATGACAGACACAAAAAAAATAAAAAATTAAAAAATTAAAACACACATCATTGTAAAATTAATACATTCATCGTTCCACTCAGAATCTAAAATGTCTACAAAAAAGTCAAATTAAATTTTTATGAGCCTATAATTAATTCTTAACACTAATTTTTACAACATTTGATATTCACTCGATTTCTCATGTAGGTAACGATTTTCTTTTTTTATTGTAATTAAAAAACGAATGACTGTAGATAGGTACTTGAAAATTGCACTGAATGTTTATATTAGCATTTTCTATGCACCATATAATTTTGAAATTAATTTGACTCTTTTTGAGCTGTTTACACATCAGTTTTAAATTTTTTTGGTTTTTTTTTTCTATAAATGTCAATAAAATTTTATTTGTTGGGTAAACAGCGTGAAAATGTAATGCAAGGCACCTAATATATTGCTATAATAGCAGTTGAAAAATATTAAAAATACATACTCATCACTTTTTTTAAAGTAAATTAAAGTTAAGCATTTAAAGTTCGAATTTCGACAAAATTCATCAAATTTAAAATTTGATGATTATTTTGAAGTTAAAAATGTACAAAGTGTTCAAATTTTATATCTAAGAATTGAAAATTTAAAAAAATGGTCCACGTAAATATGTAAATATATAAATTATTTTATTCACAATACTATCATCAAATGTACTTAGTAATATCATACGCTGTCTGACCGTCTTCGCTCAGAATCGTTTTTTTTATACAATGATATTATATCATTGCATTAAAATTTAACAACATCCATTACAGTGACCGAGTGACCTACTTGTATCCTACTGTACAGCAGAGCGACACCTACTTGCCCACCTTTTTTTCTACGATTGTCAATAAAATGTTATTTGTTGGTAAAAAAGCTTGAAAATTTAATACAAGGCTCGTAGTATATTGTTACAATAACATTTGAAAAATATTAAAAATCCAATTTTTTTTATAATCATTTAAAGTTCAAATATTGACAAAATACGTAAAAATGATGAAAATTTGTATTGTTACAATAGCAGTTGAAAAATATTAAAATTACATATCCACAATTTTTTTTATATACATTTAAAGTTTGAATTTGGACAACATTTATCAAATTAAAAATTAAAAAATTATTTTGAAGTTAATAATTTATAAAATATTTATTTTTTACATCTAAAGATTGAATAATATGTAAAACAAGGTTCCACGTAAAGAGGTTATTTATAAATTACTGTATTCACAATAATATCATCAAATAAGTATATAGATACTTAGTAATATAATAGGCTGACATGGCCGTTTTCGCTCAGAATCGTGTTTTTTATACAATGATATTATATCATAGAATTCAAATTTAACACAGTCTATTACAATGATTCACTTGTAACCTACTGTACAGCTGAGCAATACCCACTTGCCCACCTTTTTTTTATTGAACCCAAAATTTCACTATGTGCCATGGTTAAGGTTTCTTCAACTCTAATAATATGTCACTTATAAGCCTACTTAGTATACTTTACTATACCTACTTATCACTAAATAATGAAATTGAAGTAACACCTAACAAGGATTGCGAAAAAGTCACACGATGAAAATGTGTTATAATTGATATAATACATGATAAATAATTTAACATTTAATTCGAACGATTTATTTTTGAAATTAAATAGGTGGTAGATATATTTTATAGTGGTGTAAGTTGTCTATACTGGAATTAAAAAAAAAAGTTGACCGTAAATCTACGTTAATTTTCAATAAGTAAAAATTTTTAAATTATTTAGTTATTAGTTATTAGTGTTACCTATATATAAATTATTATTGATAACATTTTCAATTACCTATAATAGCTATAACATTCCTGATATTATTTTTTATACACAAACATAAAAAGGTGGGCAAGTGGGTGTCGCTCTGCTGTACAGTAGGTTACAAGTGGGTCACTGTATAATGGATGGTATTATATTTGAATTCAATGATCTAATATCATTGTATAAGAAAAACGATTCTGAGCGGTGACGGTATGTCAGTCTATACTATTTTTCAAATGAGAACGCACCGCGTCGCGCATCGTTATCAGAGGCGGGACCACCCACCACTCCCACAAAATTAGTAATTAGCACGGACGTGCGCGCGTTTCGACCGGTTTTCGTCCGCCGCCCGGTGCGTTCTCATTTGAAAAATAGTATAGTATAAGACATATTATATACATATCTATGGTATTAACAAAAAATTGACCTATAATAGGTACCTATAATAAATTCCAAATTAATCATATCACAATATCCATTAGATACTTATAACGCGTTATACATCAACAAAAACCGTGATACTATCATAGATATATAATAGTACACTTTAGAAGTTTCAAGTACCCACGAATAATATTATTCAATCACAACAAAATAACTAAAATAGTTATTCTAGGTTTTTTAATATGTAATTTCGTCCAAATTTGAAATTAAAATGTCTGTAAAAAATAAGTGTGTTTATATATTTTTTAGATTTTTTGGTTACAGTATGAATTATTTAAGAGAATCTTTGTTTTAAATTTTCAACTCTTAGTTATAAAAACTGAACATTTTATAATTTTTTAATTCCAACGATTGATTATTTTCGAGATTTTGATAAATTTTGTCAAAATTCCAACTTTAAATGCTTATAAAAAAAAATCGTGCTTATGTATTTTTAAAATTTTTCAACTGATATTGTAACAATATATAAGAAAGCTTGTATTCAATTTTCAGACTTTTTGGCCCACCAAATAAAATTTTATTGACAATTATAAAAAAAAAAACTAAAAAATTGAAAACTGAAAATGTCCCTAAACAGCTCAAAAAGAGTCAAAATATTTTCAAAATTGTATGGTGTATAGAAAATGATAATTTAAACATTCAGTGAAATTTTCATGTATCTTCAGTTGTTCGTTTTTGAATTGCAACAAAATAAAGAAATCGCTACATGAGAAATCGAGTGAATATCCAATGTTGTAAAAATTTTAATTTCAAACGCTCATAAAATTTAACTTGACTGTCCGGTAGAGATTTTTTTATTGATAAGGTAGATAATCTTATAAGGAATCTTGTGTTTCATTTTCAAATCTTAGATTTAAAAAGAAAAATTTTTACGAATTCTTAACTCAAAATAATTTGCTAATTTTCGTGATTTTTCCATATTTTGTAAATTTTTGAACTTTAAATGCTTATAAAAAAAAATTGTGACTAAGGATTTTTAATATTTTTCATCTGCCTTTGAAACAACATATTAGGAGCCTTCTATTAAATTTTCAAGCTTTCGCAACCAACAAATAAAATTTTATTGATATTTCTAGAAAAAAAACTAAAAAAAAATGAAAAATGAAAATGTCCCTAAACAGTTCAAAATAAATCAAAATATTTTGAAAATGTTATCGTGTTTAGAAAATGCAAATATAAACAACCAGTGAAAATTTCATGTATTTACGGTCATTTGTTTTAAAGTTACACCAAAAACCAAATTCGATTTTTGGAAAATCGATTTTGCGTAAAAATTCCCGTTTTTCCTTAATTTTTATGTTGTTTTTCCCGGCGCTTGTGAAAACTACTGGGAAATTTATACTTTTGACCCCCCAAAGTACCAACTAGATTCACTTTCCTATCAGAAAAGGTACTATTGAAGAAAATCGAAGCACTTTTACTGTCCCAAAACGTGATGACAGACACAAAAATATAAATAAAAATATATATAAAAATATAAATAAAAATATAAAAACATACATCATTGTAAAACCAATACATTCATCGCTCCGCTCAGAATCTAAAATTTAAAAAGTACTTATAATAATAATAATAATCATAATAATCATAATCTTTATTTACGGAAATAAAATTCCAATTACATTTTGTTATGCATGTTTTATAGTACAAAATATTCATAGCTATAATATATAATAATTTTCAACAATTCAAATAAATCAAAATAAAATTCATGATAATATTAAAAAAAATAAAAATACAAAGTATAACTAAATAAAAAACTTTCATAATTTATTGTTATTCTCTATTTTTATATTATCTAACTCGTATTACTTTAGTATATTTTTATAATTCTTAAAACCTAAACAGAAAACTCTGTTAATGATTTATTTACAAAATCAATATTTTCTACGTAGTCACTAGTCAACGTTAGAATATTCGACGGCGAGTTTGACATATTACAAGTAGTTTTTTTAGTTATTTTGTTTTAATTCAAAAAATATTATTCGTAACCCCTTATATTTTACTGTACACAATGACATTTTCGAACCATTAAGATTAATTGTAAGCTATTACAACAAATGTGCATGTCACAGCAAAAATATTGAAAGTTTACAAACATCGAAAGTTACCAAAAATGTCAACTATAAAAATATTATAAATACTGTATCAACATACCGTATTAAAGTTCCTACTGCATTTAGCACAAAATTTAAAATTAAATAAAATCATTCTTAAATAATATATCATTACTTACATTATAATAATATTTTAACCACAAAATACGCATATATGTATTGTAATTTCATACTTTCAAAGAACAAAATATCACATATATATAAAAAATCGTAAAAAAATCACACTATTTTCAAGAATTAATAATTAAAAATGATGGAAAAATTTTGGATATCTATAGTCTATTTGACTCATCATTTTTGGAGTACTTATCCATTTAATTAAAAATACACACACGCTGCAATGTTATAAAATAATATAATACATAAATAAGACGCATTCGGGTATGGCTACCTTAATGATTAATGTATTAACAAAACTAAGTTGAATAGTTAGCTACTTTATGGACCACTTTTGTTTTTAATATGATGGTCTTATATGGACATTTTAAATTATTTCATCCAGGTATTCTATTGCAGAAATTGTTCCATTTTCAAGCCTGAAAGTATAATTTATTTAAAGATTATACAAATAATTAAATACTTTGTAAAAATTTAAATTACTATTTACTTTTCTTTTGCATGGTTAAATTTTGCTTCTAAGAACTTGTATTTTTTGGGAATATTTGAGGCTACATTGGATTTTTCTGGATTCGAAATTTCCATCTCGAAGTCTTGTTGCATACTTTTCAATTTAATAATGCAATCAATAGCGCTCAGATTTGAATTCTTAATATTTGCATCAATAAAGTCGTTAAATCCATCTAGGTAGCTAATAGTTTTTATATTGTCTGTGTCGTAATGATTCCATACAGTTGGGTTTAACACACGTCCATTATAAATTATAAACGTGTCAGTAATATAGCTTATGAGTTCTGATAAATCTAAATTGTAATGATATATACCTATTAATAAAATATTAGAAAATTAATTATACAATTTATTGAATTACTTTCATTCTGAGGTGCTTCATTTTTTATTTTAGTCCAGATTTCTCCGATATGTTCAATAGGGCTCAAAGCAAGAAAACACATACGACGTATTGTTTTTTCTATATTATAATCGTCATGTTGTGATAGCCCTAAGCTTATAACTTTATGCCATATGGTATTTGTGTAGTTGTATAAAGATAATTTAATGACCGTCTTATGTATCCCAAACATTTCTTCAATAGTGGGTATGATATTCAAATCCACATCAATGTAAAAGTTACTGGGATTAAACTCTAAATCATTGTTATGAGAAGTATCCTTAATGATTTGAAACATTCTCAAGTATGCTCTTTTATTATTATTAAATAACAGTGCATATACCTAGGTACAAATTACAATTATCGTTAAAGTTAAATGACATAGTTAAAATGCAAAATAATATTAGAATAAATTATAAATACCATTGGTACTAGTCTTTCGTCAACAAAGCAGTGTAAAGTATATAAATGCCTGAATAATTTTGATTCCAATTTAATGTTGTAGCTGCTCATAAATACTGTGTCGGTAGAACATAATTTTCGTAAAAATTCTATTGTTCCAAGTACAACAATTCTATCTTCATAATAGCCATACCCTATAATGTAATTATTAACACATTTATTATATTCATTAGTTATTGATTCTATTGTCATCATCGTATAAATACCTAAAATAAAATCTTTCCCATCATTTGTTAAACGCATCTCGGCATCATTTACTAGTTCAGTCAATTTAGAAGCACTCATTTTGGCACATGTAAAATCAGCGTTTTCTTGAATTATAAATGGTCTTCGAATTACCTGTAGTGATGGCACCTCGGGATCCATTATAACTCAGTCCTAAATATAATAAAATTGTTAAACTTTTAATTTTAAAATTATTAAATTATATTTTACTTCAGAAAATAAAACTAGGTATATAAAAGTATCTAAAAAATACAAAATAAGTATAATTAGTAATTACTTATAATAGGCACTAAAAATTATAAATAATTAAAAAAATGTCTAGATCAACATTAAAATTAAATTATGTTCAATAAGTTATGTAGACTGTCAATTTACAATACTTAACCGACCATAAAAACAAAATAAGGTAGTTTAATATACTATATATACTCATTATATACATTATTGTTTTATTAAATTTAAAGTTAAAAATTCTTTTCAGTCGACTTTGTTATCAAGTATGAATAAGAGTATGATAATGTATAGTTCTGTGTATCATATTATAGTCTTCATATTACGAGAAAAATCAAAAAATAATAATATTCAAAAATACAACTATTGATTAGTGCAGTCAAAATTCGTCTAAACAATTAGTGTACAAAAACGTTGTCAAATAATTAGAGCGATTTTAAAAATAGACCCCTGGCTTGACCATTCGCCCTAAGTATTTAAATAATTCATTGTTTAAATACTATATCTACATATTGGATAAATTATTATTTCATGATATAAATATATATTAGAAATGTAGTTTTAAGAGTTATCATTTATAATAATAGTATAATAATACAATAATAATAAAAATTATGTCTCATAACATAATATTATGGACTATGGTATAGTACTTTAGTGCACAAGGGTGGTGGTAAGAGACATTTTTATTTAAAATTTAATTAAAATTCAGTATTTTATTATAAATACCTATACTATATTCTCTTTATTTATTTTCTTATTATGTATACATTATGGTTGTTTGAAATAAGTACTGTTAGCCTGTAGGTATTGGTTAGTGTGTGCGTAGAAATTATGATGGTAGCGGCTATGGACCTATACGGTTCATTGAAACATCTCTAATCGCGTTAACAAATGGCTAAATGTAGCCATAGGCGCAATTTGGGTTATATTTATGGGGGGTGCTAGATTTATGCCGACTAAAGTGGTCAGTGGTGGGCTCTGCCCCCTGACATCCCCCTCTTTTCGTATAACTTAATTTATTAAACCTTCGCATTAATCTCAATATAAACAATTACCTAAAAGTTAAAACATAATACACTTTTATCTATATTATTATTCTGATAGGTAATAAATGTATTATTATAATTATAAAAATGATAAGGCCTTAGAAATAAATGTTTCCAAATACCAGCTATGCCATAATATTATAGTCAATAAAAATTCGATGATGCTATCAACAATTTGGGGTGCTAAGCATGACAGTAAAGCATTACTTACTTATTAGCAAATGTAGCACCACCACATATTATATAATTTATAATTACATATTAATATATTAATATATTATTTTAATTCTATTTGATCTGTGATAGCGAGTTAAAGTTTTACTCCAACAAAATATTAAGAAAAATATAACCAGTTCTGACCGTATAATTTTCATTATCTTTTCTATAGGTTACATCGGTTTTTTTATTTAGTTGATTTATATCATGATACTTAATGGGTTCTCCTCTTTGGTTAAAAAATGCCTGAATACGAAATTCAATAAACAAGAAAAACAACTAAAAATACACTAATAAATCTTGAAAATAATTAACTTTCAAAATTATAATTAGACAACGGGAAATATATAGTGTGTACTTTTAGTTAAATTTTCTGAAAAAAACTGCTTCCGATCGCTTAAAACACAAACGCATTACACATTTAAATTAAAATCAGCTATAAGCATGCATCAAATCGAATTTTCGCACATTGCCTACCAAGGTAGCTGAGTTATAGGCGTTGTAGCACGTTATTAGCCAATTTATAGCAACTGGATTGCCTACTTGATATGCTGTCGCACATTGCCGTACCAGATGGCTGAGTTGCACTTACTGCAGCGAGTTACAACCAAAAGCAGTTGAACAATCACAATTTTATTAAGAGTTGTAATTTTTTTTCGGGCAACGAAGTGTTCGGGATCATATATAATATATATATATATACACACACAATAAATTTCAAATTTCAAAAAATTAAATTGAACGTTATTTAGTAGCTAATTGTTTTTATAAATCGAATTAATTTTAAACGAATTAGAATTATGTATTCATGTGAAAATAACGAAAACATGATGTATTTCCATACTTATTAAAACTATATTGTCAATTTGTACGTTTGTCTAATTTCATAAAACTGTTTAAAAATGAATTCAATTAATAAAATGTATACCATATATATATCAGATAACTGTATGTTAGGCAGGATTATGAGCAGACGGCAGCCACTATATTATGCAGTCAAAATATTTTTAATTCAATTTTTGTACATTTATATTAACTGTATGTGAAATACCTTAAATACAATAAAATAACAGATTTACATTATTTAGGCAAACATTAATAAGTTGACACTTATATTTCTATTGGCGTCCTGAAATTATTATATGTCATGCTAAATGTTTAATATTAGCTAAGTGAGCTTTGAAAATGAAAATCTGAATATATATAATTTATATTCACACGATTATAATTAGGTATTAGAGATGTTAAAATACCATTTTTTTGTCTTTTATATATAATACCGTATAAACCAATATTATACAATATTGAGCCTTGTAGTACCTTAAGATTACTCTACTCGGCCATTTGTTGTCTCCGTCTTACAGGTTCGTAACATAGTTAACAACACGTTTAGCTCAGTTAGTTTAAAAATTAGAGTGAATTGATCTATTATGAAACTTGATTTTAAGAACATTATTTATGTTTGTATGTGGGTTTCTTACGAAAGTTAATTTTTTTAGCAAGTTGTGCGTATATAATATAACGTAAATAAAAATGCTCATAATTCACTTAAAAACTGAGTTAACAAATAGCCGTGTAGCGTCCTCTTAAATTAAAAAAATTAAGACAGTTGGTTATACAAGAATTATTTTAGAATAAATTAATATTTACAGTCTTGTTACCAATCCTAAAATACTTAGTGACTAGAAATAATTTTAACTACCTAAAAATAATGTAGCTACAGTTCATAATAAATTATATTCGTATAAATATTAAATTAATTTTCTAATAATATAAGTTAATATATTTTTTTTATACAACTTGTATAATATAATTTTATATAAGTACTATGTTAATATTTCGTATGATAAAATTGTATTTTACTGTGCAATATAAACTTACATATCTAATAATTATTGATTTAATATAATGTTGTTGAACATTTATTTTAATAATCCAAAAAGTTCTAGCGAGATGAGAATGTTGATGAATTTTTGAAAATGTGCGCTATTAATAAAAATAATATTATATTATAACATCAGTGAGAATTATATTTTTAATATTTACCTCGAAAGTATTATTTTGTTAGATTCTTCGGTGATGGCAATGATTGCTACGACGATAACGATTACGTTGAGTTGTTTAGGGTCGATTGAGGAAAACTGTGGTGGGAGAGGGTGGTAGAAGGGCACAGTTGGGTACAGTATACGCCGCGGCGGTAGAGGAATTTAGACCCAGCCGTCGCGGTTGTTTCGTTCCTTTTAGACTAGGTAGTCGTCTCTGCAGGACATAATATTGTATGAGAAAGTGGGAGGTGCTAGGGTAGTAGTAGAAGGAGAAGAGGAGCCCGGAGTCATCTTCTAGAGTATTCGAACATATTTTACTTAATAAAATATAAAACTGCAGTAGGTACCTATACTAATGCTTAACAATGTATATACCTAGGGTGCATATTTTGGAAACTCTTGGAATTTAGGTACCTATATTTCTACATTTTACAGTCCATGTCATCAACGGCGTGCATGCGAGTGCGTAATCCAATTATATAGATGCAGCCATGCAGGCTGCTCAACCGTGTACGGTACACGGCTGGTCCACAGGTATACTCACACTGAGGTGCATTAATGACTTTACGACTAACAAAACTGTTAACATATTAATTGTTTTTAGATAGCTAACCTCTTAATATTTCTATTCACAAGGACCTTTATTAATTTTCATAGCAGTTTTTTTATACAATATTATAATACGGTGGTTTGCAATGTTTTCTTAGAATTTTAACATATTAATAATATAGATCTCAAACTTTTTTTTTTTAAATGTAAGGAAATCATTTGAAAGTAAACTTTATGGTAATGAGGTTAAATTTAATTTCAAGTGTTATATTGTAGAACTCGATTAGTAAAGGTATTATATACCTGCTATTGATAGTTTTAGGCTAAAGTAAATACATTTCTTTTAGGTGTATGGACTATGATGGCACGTGTTGACAAGGTCACAGGTGCATTAACACTTGACAGGTACATGTGGGGGGGGGGGGGGGCAGCTACTTTTACTATAAAGTCATTGGTACACGACACGTACCTGCAAAGTAAGAAAGTATTACGCCTATATTGAACTACTTAAAACCAGTCGT